GGGGACGGGGCCGGGGGACGGGGCCGGGGACGGGGCCGGGGGACGGCGGGACGGGGCCGGGGGACGGGGCCGGGGGACGGGGCCGCGGGACGGGGCCGGGGGACGGGGCCGGGGACGGGGCCGGGGACGGGGCCGGGGACGGGGGACGGCGGGACGGACGCTCCCGGGCCGGTGCAGCTGGTGATGGCCGGGTGGATGAGGTCCCCTGTGATGAGGTCCGTGAACGCTCTAAGCAGAATGGACCGTAAACTGATGAGACTGTAGGGAAAACGGCACGTTTGACGTGCTCTCAGGTGGTGTTACCACTGTATATGCATTTATGATGTCGCAGTACTTTGTCGAACTGCAAGTCTTTAGGCCCAAACTGTACTTCAGACAGCATTCTTCCAAAATGTGCTTCACAGAATACTCAAATAATGACCATTCCAAGGCAACACATACCATCGAGACAGTATTATCCAGTGTGACGAGGCAGTATGCGTGTTCGAAGAGTGTTATCGACGTGCTAACAGCGCTCGTGTGGACTCCGACCGCCTGGCAACGGAGCCTTGAACGAAACAGACGCCAGCAATGACTATACATCATTGAACTAGTTACGACGCTATCTGGCCGCTCAGTTGGCTTTGAATGAATTTAGCATAGCTGTTGTGCCCAGTTTCTTGTGTAAGCCATGTCTATACAGATATATACTGGACAGGGACCTTCTGTAGTGGTATCCAATGGGAACAGGGCCACCGTTTGAGCAGATAAGGACTGTTGATTGTGGCAACACCCATTTGATGGGGCTATGGATTTGATTTAGGGGGTATAGCCGCTGCGAATTTCAAGTGTCGTTTGCATAACAGTGTCGATTGTGGATTTCTACATTTGTAGGCCGTTTGTGGACGAGGACCGTTTGTGTACAGGGAGTGTTTGTGGACATGGACTGGTTGTGCACGCGCCGGACGGGGACCGCTGTTGTGGACAGGACAGGACCCGCTTATGGACATGGACTAGTTGTGGTTACGGGTTTAAAGGCGCGGGTCGTGTTACGGCGAGATGGCTCTAAAACTGGAGAGTGTGATACGTTATGTGATGTGCTATAGCTACATATACATATAAGCCGTCTCTATCGTGAAATGCTGCTGTAGTACAATAAGAACTCTCTAAGTCTAAGAGTACTTCTAAGTGAAGCGGAGAGGGCACATGTATGTAAAGTGTCCATTGGTGATGCTATACCGTGTGTCTGACACTGCTTTGGGTGGTCCCGAGGTTCGCCCCGGAGGACACTAGCTGTAAGACCCGTCAGCCATTTACACTGTATCAGCCGTCTTGGGTATCGACTGTTACGGGCAATGTGCTTACTCGGGCAGTACATTCACACTGTATCAGCCATCTTGGGTATCGACTGTTACGGGCAATGTGCTTACTCGGGCAGTACATTCACACTGTATCAGCCATCTTGGGTATCGACTGTTACGGGCGATGTGCTTACTCGGGCAGTACATTCACACTGTATCAGCCATCTTGGGTATCGACTGTTACGGGCAATGTGCTTACTCGGGCAGTACATTCACACTGTATCAGCCATCTTGGGTATCGACTGTTACGGGCGATGTGCTTACTCGGGCAGTACATTCACACTGTATCAGCCATCTTGGGTATCGACTGTTACGGGCAATGTGCTTACTCGGGCAGTACATTCACACTGTATCAGCCATCTTGGGTATCGACTGTTACGGGCAATGTGCTTACTCGGGCAGTATGCAACTGCCATCTGCTGAGAGAGGGGCCCGACCCCCTGGCTTGACTATCCGTCCATATTCGACCCAGTGAGTGGTCGGCTCGGCTGCTGCGTTATCTCGTGATTGTGTGATTCCTTATTATTTATTGAATACATTTTTACAAAGCGTTGCGAGCATATCACATGGATGGATTTAAGGTGAAGCAGGTATCAGGCAACGTTAATTCACGCGCCTTTTTATTCTGTCGATTTTCCCGTTTTTCTTCCACATTAGGTCTGTTCGGCTTAATTTTTTTTTCATTTTTAAATGGATATTGCCTAAAGCAGCCGATGGATATCAGCAGCTAAGACGATTGGACGATGAGAGATCGTGGAGACAGACGACTGCGCTGGCAATTTTAGATACTCTCAGCCAGACAGACGACAGACAATCAACTCTCGAACAGCCAGCAGCCAGTTAACTCCCAACCAGACAGACGGTAACCAGTTAACTCTAGGACAAATGGTGAGCGTTGGGGCGAGCAGACTGATTACCTTGAGGACAGATCGAAACACACCGTGTGGTGGATGTGTCAGAGAGGACCGAGGCCAGCCGAGGCAGTCGCTCAGGACTCTGTTACGGCGAGGGGGGGGGGCCGCCGCTCCAGCAGTGTCACACCGCGGCACCGACACCCCTCCCCCCTCCCCTCCCCTCGCGGCACGCTTCCCATCTGGCACCGTCACGTGACCTTGACCTAGTGCAGTCGCCGGGCGGCCGACTCGGTCATCCAGCTGACACAGCATGGGCCAGCACTGATCCCGACAGCTCAGGAAAACCCGGCGCCGACGGCGGGGTGGTGGTGTCCGGTGCCGGACATACCGCGGCCAATGGTGGCCACCCAGTGATATCTGGTGACTGTCCGGTGACCTCTGTGACCTCTGGTGACCGCATACGCATCTGATGGTGAATAATATCCTATGTGGGGGAGAGGGAACGATCCAAGCGGGTGGCAGGCCCACGCCTGTGGCCTTTCCGGGCCGGCAGGCCCTGCAGTATTTCCGGTTTATGGTGTTGACTGTGCTGAATAATATCAGTGTGACAGAGCGTGCTTGAGAGGGCAGGCTGAGGACCGACTCTGTGGGGCAGTCCGGGGCCCGAGTGATGTTCAATGCGCTGTCACGACGGAAGTGGTGCGATTTTCGCAACGAATCCCAGCCTGAATCATTGGGAATTCGGTCAGCTTCAAGAACACAATGCAGCGACATTCATTCACACCTTGGTGCGTTAGGTATGACTCAGTACAGCTTTGTTTACCAATTTCAAATTCATATGTTCACAAGACTGCTCGTGAAACCGGCGTATAATAAATAACTGGGAAGATGTCTAGCAATACCTACCTAGTTACTTCTCGAAGACATTACAGACCAGGCCAGGCTCTCACGCTAGCTTTTTGTAAAATGTAGGGTATATCGTTCTGCCTTTGGTAATTGCCAGCAATAGGTATGCACTATAGAGCGAGCACAAGTTCGCTACGCTACATGCTTGGCAATCGGACCAAGACCGTCCGATGTCATTCTTTCCATACAACGCTCGTAAACGTTTACCTACTCTCACACACGGAGAACTATTGAAGAGGAGGCGCCTTTTGAGTCTCTTCAACTCATCTGTCTTCACCTGGACTCCGTGCACACCAGCTAAGAGTAAAACTCGGTATAAGGTGTTACAACGGAAGCGTGTCTTCCTGGCTGGTAGGCTGTACCGCAATATCTTCCTGGCTGTTAGACTACCGCAATGCCTTTCTGGCTGTTAGACTGTACCGCAATGCCTTCCTGGCTGTTAGACTACCGCAATGCCTTTCTGGCTGTTAGACTGTACCGCAAAGCCTTCCTGGCTGTTACTCTATACCGTAATGCCTTCCTGGCTGTTAGACTGTACCGCAATGCCTTCCTGGCTGTTAGACTATACCGTAATGCCTTCCTGGCTGTTAGACTGTACCGCAATGCCTTCCTGACTGTTAGACTGTACCGCAATATCTTCCTGGCTGTTAGACTGTACCGCAATGCCTTCCTGACTGTTAGACTGTACCGCAATATCTTCCTGGCTGGTAGGCTGTACCGTAATGCCTTCCTGACTGTTAGACTGTACGGACTGTACTGTAATGCCTTACTGGTTGTAAGACTGTACCGCAATGCCTTCCCGGCTGTTAGACTCTACCGCAATGCTTTCCTGGCTGTTAGACTGTACCGCAATGCCTTCCTGGCTGTTAGGCTGTACCGTAATGCCTTCCTGGCTGTTAGACTGTACCGCAATGCCTTACTGGGTGTTAGACTGTACCGCAATGCCTTCCTGGCTGTTAGACTGTACCGCAATGCCTTCCTGGCTGTTAGACTATACCGCAATGCCTTCCCGGCTGTTAGACTGTACCGCAATGCTTTCCTGGCTGTTAGACTGTACCGCAATGCCTTCCTGGCTGTTAGGCTGTACCGCAATGCCTTGCTGGCTGTTAGACTGTACCGTAATGCCTTCCTGGCTGTTAGACTGTACCGCAATGCCTTACTGGGTGTTAGACTGTACCGCAATGCCTTCCTGGCTGTTAGACTGTACCGCAATGCCTTCCTGGCTGTTAGACTATACCGCAATGCCTTCCCGGTTGTTAGACTGTACCGCAATGCTTTCCTGGCGGTTAGACTGTACCGCAATGCCTTCCTGGCTGTTAGACTGTACCGCAATGCCTTCCTGGTTATTAGACTGTACCGCAATATCTTCCTGGCTGTTAGACTGTACTGCGATGCCTTCTTGGCTGTTAGACTGTACCGCAATGCCTTACTGGGTGTTAGACTGTACCGCAATGCCTTCCTGGCTGTTAGACCGTACTGCAAGGCCTTCCCGGCTGTTAGGCTGTACCGCAGGCGCAATGCCTTTCTGGCTGTTAGGCTGTACCGCAATGCCTTCCTGGCTGTTAGACTGTACCGCAATGCCTTCCCGGCTGTTAGACTATACCGTAATGCCTTCCCGGCTGTTAGGCTGTACCACAATGCCTTCCTGGCTGTTAGACTGTACTGCAAGGCCTTATACCTAATGGCCTCGGCTAGCAATCGTAGATAAATACTGTGAGTTGGCTGTCCCATTTTGCTTGTTTATCATCGACTTACGAACATTTGTCGTATCAAACGTTATCTTATGAAAAATATAGGCATCAGATTAAAGCAACTTTGGTACCTACTGGGCGCTGACGCATAATCAATAAGCTGGAGGTTAACTCATCAAAAGTGATCAGCATCTTCCATAAACACGGTATTTTGTGTAATGTGTATGGTGTTAGCATGTATTTATCATGAATATGCATGGATAATCGCTGACATTTGTTGTGATAATGGCCGGAACTCCTATAGGAGATTCAGTTTCGATAATTAACATACACTAATGACACATAAACACATATCTCAAACATTTCATATAATCCAGCAGTGATATTGACTAAATAGGGCTGTAGAATAGCACCAATAGCTCCGTCGCCAGCGCCGTTTAGTCGGAGCTTGTCTCTGTTCAACTATGTGTTTACTGGCTCGTGATAACTATCGACACACATACACAACAACACATACATACACACAAGAGCACACACACTACACAGTATGGTTTCTATCGTGAACATGTGAGCCGTTCTGCGTTCACCGCGAGCTCACAGCTCGACTAATCGGCCGACGCGCCGGACACATATTCTATCACAGAAGGCGCCGGTTCGGCCGACTCCTAATGCCCGGATCCCGTTTACCCCTCCCTCCCCGTGACCTCACGACATCACGTGCGCTCCAGTCCGCCCCGTGAGCCGACTCTTCCATTCATTGTGCGGGCAGTGCTCCGTGAGCCAGCTCGGTTCCCGGTTCAATAACATATCCACTGACGAGTCACGTTCCTAGGATTCGAGCGCCGTGCTGTACTTCTTGACTCAGCTTCCGACGACTCAGTCCAGCTGAGTCAGTCCAGCTGAGTCGGTCAGCTGAGTCAGCCCCCCCCCCCCCCCGCTAGTAGGAGTGTCTCTGTTCCGCTGGGACGCTGGACAGGGCGGTGGGATTGTAAACATTACATCGGTCAGCTCCGCTGTCCGACGGTCGGGGCGGCCGGTCCGCATCCCACCCGTCCTTGTACGGAGGCCGCACGGCAGGCGTAGACAACACACACTGACACCGCTCAGACGAGGTGTCAACTTACTGGCCGATATCCGTCACTGTAACTACTGTGTCGCCAGGCACCGGGGGACTGCCCTCGACAATAAGTCTGGAATACTGCCGCCGCGACACTGACTCCGAAACTGAGACTACGTGACACTGCGGCAGACACACTGACCGTGACTTCGTCTCCGACACACGTCTTTCTCAGAGTCTTTGATATGCTCCCGGGAGACTGCACTTCCTAACCAGCAACAGACCGCTGATCAGCCGTCTCAGCAGCGCGCAGCAGCCAGCACGGCTGAGCTCAGCAGCAGCAGCAGCAGGCTGGGCAGAAGACCTCCGGCGCCGGAGCCGCCGATCCTCGGCAGAAAGTCGCCGAACCCCATCACTGTCGGAGGGATACACGGGTCAGTTAGGCACCCACGTCACCAAACCGACACGGAGACGCGGTAGGTCGACCCGACGGGACGAGGTGCGAGCGGTGAATACATAGGACACAAATAAACGACAAAAAAAAACAGCAAATATGTCGCCTTGACTTCAATGGATAATGTGCAATTTTGCATAAACTTATCTAAAAAAGATGTAAATAAAACAAGAATATCTTAAAACATAATTTCAAAGAAGCTTGCTTCTACTGTTCCTATCATTTATCAGAATCATGCACAAGTGATTGGCTTATTTGCTGACCAAAATGCATACAGAAAAAGGGAACATTGTGACATCATTTCATAAATATGCAAGATATTACAACAAAAATTACCCGACGTTTCGTTTATTATAACTTTTTCAAGGGTAATGTTAATTATAATTAACATTAACATTAACTTTTTCGTTAATTATAATAAACGAAACGTCGGGTAATTTTTGTTGTAATATCTTGCATATTTATGAAATAATCGTCACATTACAACTCATTGTGACATCAATTAACACAATATACGCTCCATTGGCATGCTGACATCACAAACATAGCCGCGCCGAGTGCAGTGGGTGCAGTGCGGTTAGTGTGTCACCAGTGTTGGCACGACGCTACGAAGTGACCCACTATTTGAGTGCGACCGGTCGAGCGCGTGTGAGAAAACTAAATGTTGGCTCAGCGAGCGTTCGACGTCCGTGCAGTCGGCTGCGGCATGCTGGGCGCGGCGCAAGGTCAGCAGTGCGCCGCACGTGCTGGCTAGAATGACTATGGTTGCCTACTGCCTAGGTCTGCACATTAGAGAAGACCACAATACTTCTACTGTACACACATACACATACTACCGCTGGCTGTTATTCATTCAAGCTGGGATTTCATGTGCAAAATGGACATGCAGGAAGTTATGAAAGAGAGGATGGGATGAATCGATCCGTTAGTAATACAAATTGCGTCGCATACGTTCTGGTTCTGCTTGAATTCCAGGAATGCCTTGTGCGATGGTTAGTGGTGCAATTATCTAGAACTACGGTTAGTTTTCACCAAAGCTAACTACGTAGTTAGTGTGAGTCATGCTAGTTAGAAGTTAGAAATACGGTACTATGATGTGTCATGCTAGTTAGAAGCTAGAAATACGGTACTACGATGTCGTACCTCGCACTGAATGGAAAATTACGAGGAGAAAATCGTAGACGATTTCCAGGGACCTGGGAAGCAAGTGCATGTTGAAGGCATTGCTAAAAACGAACTTGACCAATAAGGTGTTCCATAAATCAAGCAAAATAAAAATAAAATGTGATCCACGTCAAACAACAACACATCCATGGACATAGGTGAAATACAACATTCAGATCAGCGTGTTTCCGTGTCACCAGACCTGGAATGCTTACAAACTGACGTCCTAACCCCCTCGCTCGAGCCATGTCTGAGGTCATGATGTCCCCATGACCCTCACAAGTTCCCGTTGCCCTCTGAGCACCCCACACGGATCCCACGGCACAGTTCGGGCAGCCCGCCTGTCTCCAGAGCCTACAATGACACCAGTGCCCCGTCTCTGGCAGTGAACACACAGTATCTGTGGATTGTGCTCTGTCAGCAGGGCTAATCGGTCGACCGGGACCGGCACGCGGCGCCCGTCATAACACGGTTCGGCCGCGGGTCGGAGGCAGGGTCGGAGGCGCGCCCTGAGGTCTCGACTGTCGTGAACCGAAGGTAAACACGCGCTGGTGACACTGACACTGTTTGGTGACACTGACACAAGTGGGTGACGGTGACACTGCCGGCGTCCTCATTTGCCCCGACTATCGCGTGCCACCAGTAAACATCGAGCCGACATGCGTGGACGCTGGCCCGGCCGGTGGGCTCTCCACTTCCAGGTCAGACAGGCCAAGCCAAAGGCCTATCTGACCTCGAGGGATGGGTATAGTTTTTGACCCATATTTCAAAATCGGAATATCCAATTGAGATTGTGTACTGGTGGGTGGAGAGCATTCCCATTTTGAAATCAATAATGGTTAATATCAATGATCACCCGTAACCACCTGAAAAGTGAGCTATAAATGCGCCGATTTACACAAATTGTACCTGCGGGTTTGGATCAAACCACACAATATCGCGGCCTTGGAGACATTAGCCGTGAAAAATGAAATTAATTAAACTGGAGACTCTGTCAGTCGTCCACCATCTGTTCCCTCCTGTGGCCTAGATTGTGTGTCAGGGACACTGTCTAAGACAACAGATGTCAACAGGCAGGGGCGGGGACGACGGGCGGCGGGCGAGGGAGGGGGGAGGCTCACCTTCGTCATTTCCGCTGTAGTCTGACGGGTTGTCGCTGGACGGTGTCACCAGATTGGAGATCTGGCCCGTACATCCGAACCAGTACTCGGCTGTGGAGCGGGGGTAGGAGGCGTCCACCTGCGGGAAACGGATCGGCACGTCAGCCGGTGGGTGACGTATTTCCCAGTCTCGACACTACCCGAGCTCAGCATGTGGTATGGCCAATGGCATCATGACACCGATGTGAATGCTGGCTTAGCAGACTAACTTATTAGCGGAAGTTGCGCGGATGTGAGAACAGGCAGAACACCCACTGTACGTTGTTCTTTTCGTAAATTTACGCAAAAGTTACATGATTGTGTACTGAATAGCGTATAGGGCCAAAACCATGGACATTTTATCATTTCATTGTTTCAATTTTCCGAAGGAGAAAAGAAATAATTATTTAACCCCACTTACCGAGAAGGCGGCGTCGTTGAACCGATAGTACGAGTCTCCCTTGAAGAAGTAGGTGCGCTTGTTCTCGTAGATGAGCACGCTGTCGATGTTGTTGGGAATGCCCTGCCAGATGCTGATCGGCTGCGGGTACTTGTCGCTGACGCCCGGCCGGCCTGTGGTCTCCAGCTCGCTGTCAAACCGCCAGTACTGCGAGCCCTTGAAGAAGTACATCTTGCCGTTGGCGCGCCATTTGAAGGCGGCGTCCAGGTTGTCGGGGATTCCCGGGAATCCGGCCGAGATGGGTTTCGGGTAGCCGGAATCCAGCTTGAGGCCGGTCATCCGCCAGTACTGGCTGCCCTGTAGTGGTGGAAGGCGATGGAATCGTCAGACGACGAACGACTGGAGCTCCACTTTATACGAGTAAATAGAATGTTCTACGTATAATGATTCTGTCTGGCGTCTACTGGGTTCTGATTCCCAAACGAAATCATAGCCGCAGGTTGAACGTTGTCTGAAATAGAAAACACTATCGGTTAGATGTGTTTTATATTGACAGCCGTGAATTTTATCCTTGTCCTCATTTTTACCGATTTTATCGACCCTAACAACCCTTGAGCAGCCTCAACCACGCTAATCGGGGTTCCACCAGGTTACCAGAACACAACAAGTCATGCATGTCATCCGACATAGTTCCCAAACTCCTCAGTTCTATTCGTCTCACCTTGAAGAAGTAGACTCTGTCGGCCTCCTCGTAGGGCAGGATGGCGTCCAGGTTGTCCGGCACGCCTCCCCACATTTCCCTGATGAGGCGCGGGTAGCCCTTCTCCACCCCCGAGCTGGTCAGACGCCAGTAGTGGTCTCCCTTGAACACGTACGTCCTCTTCTGACCGTTGACATCGATGGTGAGCATGGCGTCGACGGCGCTGTCCTGGCAGAGGATCGGGTCCGGGTCCTCGCGGTCACCCGGCGAGGACGGCTCGCGCGGATCGGGCGCCGGCGCCGCGTCCGCCGCCGGAGGACCGTACAGCTCCTGAAAACGGGAAACGGGGAGAGAGACGGTGTGACAGAGACAGAGAAGGAGGGAGGTGGCGTCTGAGTGAGACTCAGGGACACACGATGACGTGCTGGATTTTCTATCGTCACAGCAATCTCTAAAAACTCGGCCTATTTGTCGCCGCTCCTCACCTGGATGGCCTTGATGTCGTCCTCCTTGATGACGTCCCGGTCGAGGCTGGGCGGCTTGTAGAAGGGCGCCATCAGTGCCTCGTTCACGTCCGAGTGAGAGAGGCCCAGGCTGTGGCCGAACTCGTGGGCGGCCACCGTGAACATGTCGATCCCGCCCCGCTTTCGCGGGTCCACCTTCCAGTTCTCGCTGTCGTCAAAGTGCGCGTCACCGCCGTAGATGGGGAAGAAGGCGTGCGCCAGCGTGCCGCCCGGGCCGTCAAAGGCGTCGCCGTCGCCGTGGTCACCGCTGGCGAACCTGCGGAGCAGTAACATGGTGTCAGGTCAGGTCAGGTCACAGGGCCGGGTCACGAGGTCAGGTGGAGATCTGTGTGGGACATGAGGGCACGAGGCTAAGCAAAAAAGTGGGGTCCCTAGTCAGAGCTGCAGTCGTGTCGTTAAAGCTGCCTATGCGTTGCACTGACTAATCATGCAGAGTTAAGACGATTAAGCTATTTGTATAATGCATGTCTATTGTGATCGTCAAAAACTCGATAGCCAAACCAAAAATGTTTGTGCAAAGGCGAGTGCAGAGGCATCGAAAGGGTTCAAGTGAACCGATAATTAACGGGCCGTAGTGTTCAGCGGCTCACCTGATTTCGATGTTGGACTTGGAGCCGGAGCCCACCTCCTCGAAGGACAAGCCCGAGACGTCCGACCAGGCCTTGAAGGACTCCAGAATAACGTCCCGCACACCGTCCTTGTTGTCCAGCAGATTCGACGGCCAGCTCATGATCTTGTACCTCAGGGTCTTGGTCCTCCAGCGGCTGCCTGTGGTAGCAACGTCAAATTATAAACAGCAGTGTAGAAAATACGTTCAAAGTAAGTGTAGCTAAAAGATGTGTCCGTGCGCTACAATTGTTAACAATGATCCAAAGAGTATGAGGAGCGCTTTGTTCAGCTGTCATACAATGAACAACTTCAGCTTTGTTTGCACCTCCGAGTTGCCAGTCAAGGAGCGTCAGATCTTTCGTTCATAGTGTGCCACTATTTCCGGTGTCCCTGCCGGTGACCTGATTTCAGCCCTCGTGACGGCACAGCGGCCGATACGGAGCAGGCACCCGGGTCACGGCCTTGAGGGACCTCCAGAACTGCGGCCTTCGTCCTGTGCGCCTTTTTCTATTTGTCTGTCTGTGTGAAATGTGTGCGTTTGTATGTCTGTCTGCCCGCGTCCACTCGCTTGTCTGTTGTCTGCACCAGTCTATTAATTGTGTATGTGAATGTGTGTCACTCTTATATGTCCAATGTCCATTGTCCAATTAACACATAAAAATCAATATGAATCGGTTTGCATGGATGCCCGTGTGTCCACAGGGCCAGATGTGCCATGCCCTGTACATAGTTCCCCATCCCCATGTGCCTTCGTCCGGCGCCGGAACGTCTGCTGATCGTTCTGAATTTCTGCACCACACGGAAGTACGTGGGAGGAGCGGAAACGGACGCCGGCCTTTTCTCGTTTCCCAGCCCCGTGCTTCCTCAGTCCTGCATTTACAGTCCGGCTCAGCTGCGATAGAGCCACAGTTCCTGGTGCAGTTACGCTACCAAGAACTAGCGCATGTTGCTCGACATCCTCTTCCTATCATGCATTCTATGCAAAGAGCGGGGCTCAAGCACGTTATTACTTTAATAAAAGGTGGGAAAAGTGAGGGCCTGTGGACGTGTGACCGGTCTGGGTCGCTTACCCTGGAGAGCGTAACGCTTCCGCCGCCGGGCGCGGTAGCTCGGCCCCAGCTTGTCCTTCACACCACAGCGTGGCTCGCGCATCTTCTCGATGGTTGCCTCGTCCAGAACACCTGAGAATGCAGAAAATGTTATACAGGGCTTGGAAAATTACAAATTGATTAACAGTCACAACTGTTATGTCTTCCGTTATAAAGACATCACGGATCGCTATTAGGAACAATATTAGGTGCGGCCATCAAGTGTGTGACAGTTCAGCCCGTGATTAACCACCCAACTGATCGTGGGATCCCAGCAGTGGAAATCCCGAGGGGGGGGGGGGGTCACCCGATCCGCCGTCCTGTCAGAAGTGAGTACTCACCCGTCACCTTCAGTCCGGCGAACCGCTGAAACTCCTCCAGATTGGAGGAGAGCGATACCAGCGCACCCGACTTGTCCTCCGTGGGACTGGATGACGAGTACCCATATCGAGCCAGGTAGGTCTGCCGACACGGGAGGGTATGGTAAAATCACAGCTGGGGGGGGGGGGGGCAGTGGCCAGTAAATACCCATACCGAGCCAGGTAGGTCTGCCGACACGGGAGGGTATGGTAAATTTACAGCTGGGGGGGGGGGGGGGGGGCAGTGGCCAGTAAATACCCATACCGAGCCAGGTAGGTCTGCCGACACGGGAGGGTATGGTAAATTTACAGCTGGGGGGGGGGGGGGCAGTGGCCAGTAAATACCCATATCGAGCCTGGGTGGTCTGCCGACACGGGAGGGTATGGTAAATTTACAGCTGGGGGGGGGGGCAGTGGCCAGTAAATACCCATACCGAGCCAGGTAGGTCTGCCGACACGGGAGGGTATGGTAAATTTACAGCTGGGGAGGGGGGGGGGGGGGGGCAGTGGCCAGTAAATACCCATATCGAGCCAGGTAGGTCTGCCGACACGGGCCGAGTCTGGTTATGGTATCTACAGCTCGGGGAGCGGAGATATTAAATAGTCCAATACAGTTAGTTGTAAGGCTTATCTCTCGAATTCGAGCTCGCGGTCAATGATGAGTTTTACTTTATTTCACTATTACAGTCGATGCCCTTCGGGAGTCTATTTTGAGCCAATGGAAGCGACTGCAGGTATCCGCCGATCGACCAATTCGAACCGAATTCAGTGGTTCAATCGCCGTCCCGTCCTAACGACTCTCTCGCATGTCAGGCCCTCCGCTGATATAAAATAGAATCGATTGGAAATTGACATTTGGCGTGCGCGGGTTAGCAGCGTTTGGGTGCATTCATACTCGCCGTCATTCATATTTGCCGTTTCCGCAACGGATGTTTGCTGTACTGAGTCACTTTGAAGACAACTTATGCTCCTTAGTTATTATGTTGAAATAATTTCCATACGCTGCCATTGCAGCATTATACTGACAGATAATTTTGTAGTCCCGATTCGAGTGGCACTGGCGCTCTATATTCATCTTTTCCCGACAACCCTACATAGATCGGGCCGCTGAGGCCAGCGCCCGAGCAACAAGTTTTGCCTAGAGGCGACGGGCTTCGGTTTCGTGAATGCGCCCATTCATAACATTCGAACTGAATCTCTAATAGGAACGGCAATGGATTTTGATGGGACACAATTGATAGAAGGCAGACAATATGCAGTGATGCATGTCAGTAAAGGCAAGCGAAAACGCAAATGACATCCCTCATCCTGCTGCTCGATAAACATCAACTGGAGTACAACGTACGGTAAGCAGTTCTGTGTTAAATCCTCTCAATACTGGGCTGGTGACCTATCATGCCGAGTCTGTTTGAACTTACCGCCGCCTCGATGATGCTCTCGGGCGGAGAGTCCTTCAGCGTCGGGTTGGCACCAGTGGTGTGGATCACCAGCACCACTGCGATCACCACTCCCAGCTGCAGTGAAGCGGCCATGGTGGGAACTGGAGCGGTTCTCGGTGCACCTCCTCCGACCGCCGGCGAGCGACTGTGGCCCGCCGCCGCCGGCCCCCCTGTAGTCATGCTGGCAGTGAATCATCGACCCCAGCCACCTCCGGGGCGGCGCTCCGCGCCCCGTCCGCAGCACTCGGCCGTACCTACCCCACACGCGCACCCAGGTTCGGCGGCGCTCCGGGAAGCCGCCGGGCCGGTTCGCCGAAAATGTGTGTGACGTCAGCTAGCGTGAATGGCCCGCCGCGCTGCGCACGGAGGCACGGAGGCACGCACTGCGCGTGCGGGGATGTGACAACAACGTGTCAAAGCCGCGATTATTTGCCAATCACGCGCACTGCAGGGCCCGTGGGACAGCGCCGGACAGCCCGGAACGGTCGAACGCTGTTACTGATGTCCTATTATACTCGTATAATGCGATGCCTGTGAACGTCTATTCACGTTATTGTATTTATGATCACATGTAGCGTATGCATTGCGGTTCTGTTTATCCCGTGGTTAGATCATGCGCGCAAAGTAAATTTATTTAACAGTTCATTGACTTGTAGCCCAAGCACCGTTCCGTGCTTCTATCCTCAGGACACAGAAATCCTTCTCCTCCACACCGCAACCCCCCTCCGGGCTGGACAGGCAACTTTATCTCATGCGGGCTGCTCCCTTGGAGCGGCGCCGCTGCTCCCGAGGGAGCGCACCCCGTAGCCGGGTGCAGTGAGTGCCTTGGGGCTGGGTGGCCTGTCTTCGGACGGGCTCAGCCCCGGCGACTCACTAGGGTGCCTGCCCAGACCAATGTCTCCCCCTATATCCTATCATCCTCCCGGCTCTGAAATGGTCTCATTGGACCGAAAGGGCCTAACCCAACAAAACAAAACAAAAAGTAGCCCAATATTTGTATGGCTGATTCCAGAGCGCTCTGGTTCACAGGACACTGGACTGAGGGTATACGGCGAACCGGTACCTTAATTATTGCATGCGGGTAGCGATTAGCGGCGACAACTTGCAGCCGCAATAACGTCAGGCAGCAATTTACAGGATATTTTATATCATATGATTGCACAGCCGTGCAGAGGCTCTGTTTTGGTCTAGTGCGTCATGAAATCCTTTTCTTCTTGAACGGACATATAACGGAGAACTTATATCACGATGTCACGACTCACGAGAAGGTGAAGTGCACTAGTCACGATATACTTCAGTGAATTTTAAATGTAGGGGGATTTCGTTGACGCTCTACGAATCTGTCTCGGAAGATGCCCTCCCGATAGGACATATTGCTTCTCTCTAGATCAGAGAGGAAAGAACAGGTCTATTCCCTCAGCAGATAATAAAAGCAGAAATGGTACATAAAATAAGGAGCATCTCACCATTGATCAATTTTTAGTTTCATGGTAATATACGTCCTATTGTAGGCATCTACCTCCTACATTCTCCATCAAAAGACTTCATAAAAAATATGTAAAAACGACGTCAATAATGCAAATAATAATAAAATCCTACATGAGGAGTGAAACCAGCATAACCAGTTGGCGGATCATGGTTCTGCAGTTCTGAACAGTCCATTGTTTCTGGGTACACTGGGGACACTTGAACCGGGCTCCGGCGCCCAGCTCCAGTGATTCCGCCATGAGTCCACGCCGCGCGGGCAGTGTGAGTCCAATCACCGTGAGCTGGCGGTCACGGGCCGCGTACCGTCTGGCTGCATTCCGACCCCACCCACCCTCAGCACCGGCACAGCGCGGCGGTCACGGTCGGTAAGTGCCGCCGCGGGGCTGCACCTCTGACGCCCCCAGAGCCGCCCACGAGCTCAGTATTTTGTTACACGGGCCGTGGGTGGTTTTATTGACCAGCAGCCGGACTTTGTTGATACTCGACTGCTCCATGCCGTCTAGACGAGGCACGGAAGACGTGTTTGAACGAAAGGAACCAGCACTCCACCCGGTGGTCGGGTAGCCATGTCCTCGCCCACACGTGTTCTCAGAGCGTTCTGAAAACACATACAACTGCACAGTAAACATGGTGCAGTTCATAATTCAGCCGGAACTTCAGGAGGAGTGTACTCAGGAGGCTCAACAGAAATGGTCGCACTCAGCAACATTTTACCGGCAACGAAAACCATAAACTTTGCTGGATAATTCGATAAAAACAAATTCGTGTTTCGAAAAATTTGAACAGTGAACACTAAAAATTTTCTTTCAAATATATTTACATACGAATTCGCGCTGCATTGTTAAATATGAGCGCCTAGCCGTTGCTTAGTCACCTTTCATGATGCATCTAAAAACTGGCGCTCCCTTATTTCAGGTCCTTTTGAGAGACGAATGCAAAAAATCCCCCAAATTTGTGTCCTAAATATGTCCAATTATATTATTTGGATATGTGAAATAGCACACGCTCAAGATCACGTTACAGGTCTGGAAAAGTAGGAGGGGAGCGCCTCCTGTAACAGTGTGTCCGATCGTTGTCCCCTGTCGCCCGTCCCGCTATTCGGGCCGCGGTGTTCGGACGGCGCGGCGGGGCCGGTCGATCGACGACCGTCAGCCATTCAGACCGTTCAGCGCCGGTACAAGAGACGCGTGTGTTCCCGTCCGCGGTGTTCGATACGCGATATATGGCGTGTCGATGCTGATGACACTAATCGCGCTGTCCTGACAGATGACCTTGAGGGCGTGAGCGCAGTTTGGCCTGAGTAGGTGAAGAAGATATGTACACTGCAGCTTTAAAAACGCTCCTTGGGTCACCTGTCTTCTCTAGCAGGTTATTTACACGCCCCTTCTCTTTGGGCGATTGGTAGCCCTTCCCATCTCAACGGCCGACCTGACCCTGGCAGGGGTCACCACCGCCGTTCCAAGTTACCCGACAATGACAAAACCGGGATGACAAACATGGGATCGCTGGGACGTAACCAGCCACCCCATGAATGGCGAGTAAACCCCAACACCGCCCGTCAACAGCGATTTACCAAACAGGCCTTTAACGAAAATTAATGGCCGATGACATTGCAGTGTGTTGTGCTTTCTGAGATTGCTCAGAAGCCATGACAAATTGCGTTGCCTACGCATGCGTTACGTGACGACACATGAAGTCAAAATGCCAGTGGCGGTAATGACAGAGCACGTTCACTGCAGCTTCACCCGTATTTATGTTTTTCTATCGTGGGGAGAAGCATATTAGCGATGCGTAGCCTCACAAGAAGACGGTTAACACTTTAAGCCGTCTTTCTTCAACCATATGTACCACAGTAGGCATCCTCGCTTATCCGTTAGGCGTTAAACATTTGCTTATCCCAGAAAGAACCAGCTAAAAAGAGCTCGAGCAGCCCCTTGACTCTATCCATTGCTTCCATCCGCGGAGTACACGAGCTCCCGGAACCCGGTGTACCGTACCCTCGCTGCAGGACCTATGCACGTGCCTTCGACTGGCCCACTGCTCCGTGCGAACCACTGATGACGTCATCGGCCGAGTGTGTGACGTCAGACAGCGGCGATAACCGGTTGGGCATGACTGCAGTGCAGAAGATTTGGCGGCACTATTTGGCAATGGTCCTAGTGGGTGCAGCGTTCAGCTATCAGCAATGCATCCACCTGCTGCACCATGAGGGCTGATCTAAGAGACCGCGCCGATCAGCTGGGCGTGGAAGGAAGCCATCCGACAGCCCACCTCCCCGCCCGTAAAACCGGAAGGAAGTGAGTGAGTCGCCAGGAGTTAGCGCGGCCAGTGAGTCATGACTCTGAGACTCTCAGTAGAGCGGCCACTCTGGTTACCGAGACACTGGTCAGACAGAATTGCGGAATAAAACTCCCATTTCACGGCGGTCGTTGAGTGATTCAGGAGGCACGCAATGCGTCACCATCACGGGTTTCCAAGCCGCCGTCCGCCGCATCTGATACTCTGTGACACACATTGTTTGGCCGGATGAATGATGATGTGTATATTGGCGCACTGTTCCGGTATCGATAAATAATGCCAGCCTTGCGATTCGTAACTCTGAAAAGAAGCCAATCATTGGCGAGTGACTTAAATTCATTGTACTTTGTTAATAACATTTATAGTGTTTCAAAGCAATTGAAAGTGAATTGAAATAAAATAGTATCCGAGTTAAGGCCCACTTTTCTTAATCCGATATTTCGGCTGGTAATCGTCGTGGCGTCTAAGAATGAAGTACTTCATTTGCCCAGGATTGGCCCAAAGACTTAATTACATTTTAATGAGTCTCGCTTGGATTTCTGTGATTACATAAGACAAGTTATGCCAATTGCCAGCCCTAGCACTTCTCGAATATTCTATATTTCACTGCATGAATAAAACGAACCGTCGCAAAACAGGCGCGGTGCGGTGATTGCAATTTGCAAGGTCTTAAGGATTCACGGTCTTTTTGAGTTACATAACCGCCTTCTGACGTGCGGCCGGTGCGCCGGCTGCATTCCTCCCCCCCCCCCCACTCAACACCCACCCCAGCATATCGGCTCGAGCAGCGACACGACACATTTCCAGGAACTGGCCGCCGTTCAGGCCGGTAACGACTGGAGGGATCGATTGTACCGCTCTGGGTCACTGCCACTGCCCCTCCGGACCCCCTCCCCCCACGGCACGCGCAGCCGAGGGGGAGGAAGTGCGTGACACTCCCAGCGCGTGCTCTCGGGCCCGCCCGGCTGCCAGTGACGTCACAGGGGTCTCGAGAAGCCCAGAGAGGTCCAGAAGGAAGGCGATTTTGGGATAGCGTTGGAGGTAATGTGTAGGTAATGTGCAGCAAAACTTACCATGTCAGAGTAAAACCGATAGAGATGTTAACCCTCGCATGTGTGCGGCGTTTGCCAGCTTCTAATGTGTAGGGGGGGGGGGTCGGTTGGACCCCCCCCTTGCCGTTTGGCCCCTGATCGAGCTAGAGCTTCGCGGAAAAAACGAGCGTGTTGCCCGTGACGAGAGGAAGCCGATGATACCCAATTTTAAGGTCCTAGGTCATTGGTTGACCTTCCAGGTCAGGTCAATGACCCAAAGTCGGGAAAATCGGGACCTGTTAGAAAGTCGTAAAGTGTGGCTGCTAAGGGGTTTTTCGGGGTGCTGATCACGAATATCGTGTTAGTTTTGATCACAGATGATGTCTTGAAGCATTTAGACCAGGTCGGGTCAGGTCAGGTCAGGTCAACCAGTAGGCGTAGTGACGGGTAATCGTA